TTGGCTGTTAGTGAGCAGGCTGGGGCAGCATGCGTCGCTAGACTGGACGATGGCCGCCGGTGGAGGTTCGTGATTGGGCAGCAGCCAAGGGAGGGAAAGAGCCGCGGACGGCGTCTGCCGTGGAGGTGCAGCGATGAGGTCGCCTCGCGTGCAGCTGCTGGGTGGACCGCTGCATCGCGGGACCATACGGATGGCGGCGTCTTGGGAGGCCTTCGTCCAGCAGTGGATTGATCATGGCTGGTGATGATGCTCGAAAATAGAAACATTCAAAAGATCGAAGCCCTTCAATTTGGCTCCTCCAAAACGACAACCCGGAGGGTGATTCGTGTTGCTCATCGGGCAGGGCCAGCCTCGCTCTGCTTTGCTCTACGCCTCACGCTCCACGCTTACAAACCAACGGTCCCCAGCACCAGTGAACCCAGCACGTTGTCTTCAGGGGAGTGTGACGCTGATAGAAAGTGAATCGCGCCATCATTGTCGAATCCGGCGTGTCCACTCACACCAACACAACGCACTGTAGATGTGGGCCAATAAGCAGCATCGACCACTTAGACCGTGCAGTAGAGCGACGTAACACGGCTGACAGTTCCACAACTGCGTGTGGTGTACACCCAACATGTTGAGATATTTCAGTCCCACATTAAAGGTGTGCCCCAGAAAAACCTGACAGCCCACATTGTTGCACGTGTTCATGAAACAAACAGTGGGTTTAATGAAATACACGGCGAAATAGGTGTGATAGTCTAATCAAGTAACGCCACATTAAATGACAGCATCATGGACTTCATCTACTTTCTCGATCACCTCATCAATTTGTTGCACTTTTTGTGTTTTATTTTACCAGGTAAGCCCCACTAAGCTGCATAGCTCTTTCTTAGAAGTGACCTGGCCATGAATGATAACTCAACGAAGTGGCTTATCAGGTGGAAATTTATATCGCATGTTTCTTAATGTGGAGGGAAAAACCGCAGGACCCGGGGGAAAATCCACGCGACCATGGGGAGAGAGCGTGAACACTCCAAATATACAGCAGGCGTTAGGGTCGGGATCGAAACCACGACCTCCTGTATAGCAGGCAAGGTAGTTAACATCTCACCAACAAATTCAAGGGCTTTGATTTTTTTTGATGTTCTATAATATATCTGCATCCAGGAGGGGCGTGAATTGGGCTGTTTGACCAACTCGTCTAATAAGAGTTTTATCCTGTGGGAGAAACCGGAGTAGACAGAGAAAACACCGAAATACGAGGGGATAATTCTCAGAGCTCCGCACAGATGGATTCAAAACAGTTTACTTGATTTGCTATCTCCTCGCTCTCACGCAGCTCGGAGAATTTGTGAGTTTCACAAGCGTGCGTGATCCACCAACCCTCGCCTCCAAAGCCATGGATCTAAGGTGTGCGGCAATAACTCTCCGTGTCCCAGCACTCGCTGACCACAAACCACCAACTTGGCTGCTGGCTGGCTGCCATGCTTATCGCTTGCGAGCAGCAAAGTGCTTGCTCAGTAATGTTACTTGGCTATTTAACATAGCCACATTCGATGAAATAGCTTAATTAATTATGAATGTCCTGCATGAAGTCAAAGACAAACATTTCAGAGTATCTACGTGTACCCGGAATGTAAACGGCAACCTGAGTTCGACTCCTGGCCATGACCAACATAAGTGGTGATGTCTGGACTGGTCCTGGGTTCCCATGCACCAACCCACACTGACCACGGTGATGAAGAAAGTTTAAACAGCCGCCATGACCGGTACGACGTGGGGAGGCCTTCATCCAGCAGCAGTGACAAAGGGCCGTGCATTACCACCACCGCCACCACTACGTCTATACTACGTGCACCGCAGTAAACTGCAGGGTGCAGTACTGGGGGCTGATTGACATCAAAGAGACGATGCTTCTATGGACAGCCTGTCCCGTGGGGCTTATCGGCGTGTAGCCGATTGTTCATCACTGTGCGGGGTTTGGCGACTCTCCCCGACGTCTCCCCCACCGAGGGGATCTGCACGCCACTTCTCTGCGACGTGAACTGGGCCCCGTGTCCCCGGGGGTGGCGCGTCCGCGTAACCCGTGCCGAAATGCGATGATGCCCTGTGCTCTCGCCTTACCGTGGCTCGTGCCGCATCTGACATCATCCCCGCGTCGACGCCCGCGCCGGCGAGCTCCATCTCCACCACGGAGCGAGGCGGCGGGGGGGTCCACACGGCTACGTATGGCCTGCGAGACGAGCAATGGCACGCGCGAGAAGTCATCGCTGGGGAAGCTGCTCGGAGCCAAAGTGATACCTGAAATGAAGACTGGCGCTGCTGATGTGTTGCTGTCATGCATGGTAAGTCATGCTATGTATGTTGAACGTCTTTCGCGCTGTACGTAGCCAACTGTGATAATCGGAGATGCGGGGGAAGGACAACAAACTAAACACAAAACACAGTTCTAAGGAAATGAGTTTTCAATCGATATGTAAAAGTGCACATTTCCAGCGGCTTCCTAATATCGGAAGAACATTCCAGACGGCCGCAGAAGCTCATCTGAAAGCGCGCAACCCAGTGGCCCTCTTTGTTCAATGGCCAGCCAAAGGCCGCTGTGAGGATGACCGGAATTCCCGTGATGGATTATGCTCATAGACGAGGTCAGCAAGGTATTGTGGTTCATTTGTGGCAAGCACGTTGTGTATAATGAGTGCGACCTTAAAAAAATATGTTCATGATTCACAGGCCCGCATCTATCCACTGCTGGATGAAGGTCTCCCAACACCGTGATGATCATGAGGATTGTTTGACCATACTTCACCACGCTGGTCAGAGTGGGTCGGTGAAAGACTGGGGATGGCCAGAACCGGCTCAGATATCAATCACCTTTGATGTTGGCAGAGGCCGGGAATTGAACTCAGGACACCGCGTTCATCGTGCGGCACGCGAGCCACGCCTCAAGGCTACCCCCCCCCCCCCACCAATGTGAGTGTCTGCACGGGACACGTCTAGACAATTAGCTCGAGGGCGAGTGAGCGGTGTCAGCAAAACTCGCTCGGCCAGGGAGGAGAGGGCGTGGAGCGGATGGCCCAGGCGCGCACTCGGCGACGCTGAGTGGGTAGACCGCACTGGGAATGGGACGCTGGAATTTCCAGCAGTGGCTCAGGAAAGGCTCAGTCCTTTCAGAGAACCCATTCCCGTGCACCGATTAAGCCACAGCTTTAGGGGGCCTCCACCTAGAATCAACGTAGGGGGCACGGTAGATCAGCTCATGCTGTCTGCAGGATACACCACCGTGCTCCCCACTGGCATAAGCCATAGCCGGGAATCGAACTCTGGTTAGCAGATTGGCGCAGTCTGCCATGCTTACAATCTCTCCATGACAAATTATACAGACGCATTCTATGTGTGTGTGCCTGAACAGCACTTGCCCCAAGTCTGTTAAGGCTATATGGGTTATCTTTGTATTTGTTATCTCATGCGCGGAGTGGTGGCACAGTGGTTAGCACACTCCGCTATGAACCCGGTGACCTGAGTTCGATTCCCGTTCATGATTAATAACAGTGGAAACTAATTGAACCAGTTCTAGTCCTCCCTTAGGTCGACTCAGACTTAAATGAATACCAGGTGCGATGTGTAAACATCAGCAATGAGGAGGCGTGGCGCTACCCCCCCCCCGACCCCGTGTTCTGTGCCCGCCTTCATAGGTGCTCGCTAACACCACAGTCATTGAAGGCTATACGGGGAATCTTTATATTTGCTGTTTGTAATCTCATGCTCAAGCAATGCAGTCTCGCCGCGGTGTGACCCTGCAGAGCGGGGTGCACGTGCTGTGTCTCCTTGCACACGCGTGGTGTGTGTTGATTGTGAATGGGTGAGTTGTGTTGTTAGTCGTGCTTGTGAACCACAACCTCTAAACATTTTATTCCATTTCACATGGAATTCCATGAAAAAGAAATTTGCCGAATATTCAGCAGCTTCGTAAAAATCGATCCATCACACTCAGTGAGGCTCGAACGCGGCGTCACTAATCGGAGCATTTTGTATCCATAACACTGGCAGGTCGAGTTTACGAAAAGCAGTCCGGGTCTCGTGATAAATGCCGCGCGGCACACAGTCGCCAACGTCTGCGGCCGTACATTGTCGACATGTGCCAGTGCAGCACAATCAATATCCGTACCGTGCTATGCTCCAGCGGCTATGCTCCCCACACTGACCGGCGTGGTGAAGTATGGTCAAAGTAACCCCCTCATCAGGCAGCGGACCGACACCGCGCGTCCACACGCCAGGTCGTCACGACGACTCCCCTCGTTCCTCCGGGAGAACCTCGCGCGTGGCAGGCCACGTGACGCCCCGGGTTTGCCCGGAGCGCGCCCGGCGAAACGAAACGCGGCGCCGGAGTGGCGACGGACTCCGCCGTCTCTGCGCAAATCACAAACGCTGTGATTTCTATTTGGCTGATCCCAGCAGCCTCTGTTGGTCACGGAGCGCCACGTGGTGCTGGGGGCTCCCGTGCTGCCATTGCCCCAGGAACATTCCCTGGCGCGGTGCGAAGTTCCGCATTAATAATCACGATGTTGATACCGTAAGAGCACTGCTACTTAGTTACGATGGCCTCACCGAGTCTCAAGATGATTTACCAAGAGGGTCTTCGACTGGGATGCTTAACCAACCACTCGAGAATGAATGTTTTGTGAGTAAAAACCACACGCACAGGTGGGGATAACCCTCAAAAGTCCACACAGACGCGTTCACTAACCCACTTGCGATATTACAATGTCCTGGAGGGTTTTGGAGGTTCACCAATCTGTGTGATCCATCAACCCTTGTTTCAGAAGGTCGCCTCTTAGCTTCGACGACGAACTCCGCCGTGTTCGTGTCTGAGCCTCCGCAGTGACTGCGTGACGGCTCTACAGGGGCAGCCCCCTCCCTCTCTCCCTCCCACGCCGTGAGGCGCGGGCCGCTGCTGCCCGGCGCTGTTGCGCAATCGGAGACGGCGACCGCTCGGCGCGCCGAGCGGCTTCCTGGATACGCAGGCGCCACCACAGACGCGGGGCGGTGCCGGTCACGGAAGCCTTCCCACGGCTGGGCCCTACAAGGCGGCAGCAGCAGCATCGCACTGCGCACGCCTCGTGGGGTGCTGCTGGAGGGGCGGCAGTCCACGACCCCGCCGGGCTATCGGCCGAGGTAAGAACGCGCGCGAGGCGTCGCTTGTGCGGACAGTCGCGACGCTGGCACTGGCGCGGCCGGCTGGGAGCGAGGGGGTGAGGAGGGCCAGAGAGCCGCCACTGGCGCACACCTCGTCAAGTCCACGCGTAGAACGAGCTGATGAACATCTTCTGTGTTAAACCTCGGCCGAGGAGCCTTTATCACGCCGTGGGTTTAACGGGCGATTAATCCAATTCTAACTTCACGTGTTACGCAACTATTGCCTGGCGCTTTTCATCACGCCAGTGGAGAGCACGTGAAGTCCACTGCCAGTCATGAGTACAGGACACAACGGGGATTGTGATGTGAATCCAAAAGATGTCCTCGAAGGGTTATGGAGCCGGGATTTGGCACAAACACAGGCGAGTTTGCTTTAAACTGTCAATCAAGCTCAACACATTTCGAGATTCGCCTCCCAAAAATGACAGACTCGAGGTAGATGGGTTCCAGTCCAATGAGCAGGGTCAGTTTAAAGTTCTATACTGTTTAAAGTTCTGCACTGTTTTGAGTTCTACACTGTTTAGAGTGCTACAATATTTAAAGTTCTATATTGTTTCGCCTGCCGAGGGGTGTGACGATAAAGCCGACAGAAACCGGGCAAAGCCGGTTCAAGACGAGTTCATTATACGTCAAAGTCATGGTTATGGTAACACAGTATGCAGTGGGAGATAACACAATGTATAGCATATTCTAACACTGTATACAGTGTATTCTAATATAGCATTGTGTTATTACACATGGTGTATTCTGAAAGAGTATACAGTGTATTGTAATATAGCATTGTGTTATTACACATGGTGTTTTCCAACAGATGATACAGTGTACTATTAGGACATGAAAAAACAACAAAAATCATGTAATTTGTCCATGAAAAGCTGAGTCTCAAGATATTTTTTTCAGGAGAGGCTTGCATGTGGTGATTGGCAAATTCGCTTTTGGGGAGTGGTTTGGCTTCAAAACACCCCGAGAAACCCCAACGCATACAGCCGATAACACTCGCAGGTCTGCACGGATGGGTTCATGAACCCATTTGCTGCACTAACATCTCTCGCGGCGCAGGGTTTTGGGAGTTTGATCAATCTCTACGTAATGCACCAACCCTAGCCTCTTCCCACGCTGCGTGTGGTCACAGGCATGGCCCACCGCGTGCCGCTCAGTGTCGCACGGGGAACAGCCAAAAGGACATTCAGAGAAGTGCGACTCAGCCATCAGGACGCCTGCCCTGCAGGTGTCAATGTCTGCAGACCCACAGTTAGGCAGAGACGCATCACAGGCGTTGTTTTTACGAGAGCCCTACACCGGATGGCCGAGTCATTTCCTCTATGGGAAATGCGCGCGTGGGAGGGAACCGCAGTGCACCGGATTGAAGGCACCGACACGAGACGCCAGTGTTAAGGATACAAAATCCAACGATTAATGACGACGTTTTTTCCATCTCGAATTGATGTTTACAGAGCTGATGAATATTCGACCAATTTATTTTTCATGGAATTCCATGTGAAATGGAATAAAATGTTTAGAGGTTGTGGTTCACAAGTACGACTAACAACACAACTCACCCATTCACAATCAACACACACCACGCGTGTGCAAGGAGACACAGCACGTGCACCCCGCTCTGCAGGGTCACACCGCGGCGAGACTGTATTGCTTGAGCATGAGAATACAAACAGCAAATATAAAGATTCCCCGTATAGCCTGAACTGACTGTTGGGGCAAGTGGTGTTAGAGAACACCAATGAAGTCGGGCACAGAACACGGGGGCGGGGGGGGGGGGCTAGCACCACGCCTCCTCATTGCTGATGTTTACACATCACACCTGGTATTAATTTAAGGCTGAGTCGACCTAGGGGAGGACCAGAACTGGGTCAAATAGTTTCCGCTGTTATTGATCGTGAGCGGGACTCGAACTCAGGTGACAGGGTTCATAGCGGAGCGTGCTAACCACTGATCCACCGCTCCGCGCATGAGATAACAAATACAAAGATAACCCATATAGCCTTAACATACTTGGGGCAGGTGCTGTTCGGGCACGAGCACACACAGAATGCGTCTGTATAATTGGCCTTGGAGAGATGGTAAGCATGGCAGACTGCGCGAATCTGCCAACCAGAGTTCTATTCCCGGCCATGGCTTATGCCAGTGGGGAGCACGGTGGTGTATCCTGCAGAGAGCATGAGCTGATCTACCGTGCCCCCTACGTTGATTCTAGGAGGAGGCCCCCTAAAGCTGTGGCTTAATCGGTGCACGGGAATGGGTTCTCTGAAAGGACCGAGCCTTTCCTGAGCCACTGCTGGAAATTCCAGCGTCCCATTCCCAGTGCGGTCCACCCACTCAGCGTCGCCGAGTGCGTGCCTGAGCCACCTGCTCCACGCCCTCTCCTCCCTGGCCGAGCGAGTTTTGCTGACACTGCTCTTTCCCTCGAGCTAATTGCCCAGGCGTGTCCCGTGCAGACACTCACATTGGGGGGGGGGGGGGGGGGGGTAGCATTGAGACATGGCTTGCGTGCCGCACGATGAACGCGGTGTCCTGAGTTCAATTCCCGGCCTCTGCCAACATCAAAGGTGATTGACATCTGAGCCGGTTCTGGCCATCACTCGTCATTCACCGACACACTCTCACCAGCGTGGTGAAGTATGGTCAAACAATCCTCATGACCATCACGGTGTTGGGAGACCTTCATTCAGCAGTGGATAGATGCGGGCCTGAGAATCATGAACATATTTTTTTAAGGTCGCACTCATACAAAACGTGCTTGCCACAAATGAACCACAATACCTTGCTGATCTCGTCTATGAGCATAATCCATCACGGGAATTCCGGTCATCCTCACAGCGGCCTTTGGCTGGTCATTGAACAAAGAGGGCCACTGCGTTGCGCGTTTTCAGATGAGCTGCGGCCGTCTGGAACGTTCTTCCGATATTAGGAAGCCGCTGGAAATGTGCACTTTTACATTTCGATTGAAAACTCATTTCCTTAGAACTGTGTTTTGTGTTTAGTTTGTTGTCCTTCCCCCGCATCTCCGATTATCACAGTTGGCTACGTACAGCGCAAAAGATGTTCAACATACATAGCATGACTTACCACGCATGACAGCAACACATCAGCAGCGCCAGTCTTCATTTCAGGTATCACTTTGGCTCCGAGCAGCTTCCCCAGCGATGACTTCTCGCGCGTGCCATTGCTCGTCTCGCAGGCCGTACGTGGCCGTGTGGACCCCCCCGCCGCCCTGCCCCGCGGTGGAGATGCAGCTCGCCGGCGTGGGCGTCGACACGGGGATGATGTCAGATGCAGTGCGGCACGAGCCACGGTAAGGCGAGGGCACCGGGCAGCATCGCAATCCGGCACGGGTTAGCAGACGCGCCGCCGCCGGGGACACGGGGCCCAGTTCACGTCGCAGAGAAGCAGCGTGCGGATCTCCTCAGTGGGGGAGACGTCGGGGAGAGTCGCCAAACCCCGCACAGTGATGAACAATCGGCTACACGCCGATAAGCCCCACGGGACAGGCTGTCCATAGAGGCATCATCTCTTTAACGTCAATCAGCCCCCAGCACTGCACCCTGCAGTTTACTGCGGTGCACGTAGTATAGACGTAGTGGTGGCGGTGGTAATAGACGGCCCTTTGTCACTGCTGCTGGATGAAGGCCTCCCCACGTCGTGCCGGTCATGGCGGCTGTTTGAACTTTCTTCACCGCCGTGGTCACTGTGGGTTGGTGCATGTTTACCCAGGACCAGTTCAGACATCACCACTGATGTTGGTCATGGCCAGGAGTCGAACTCAGGTTGCCGGTTTCATTCCGGGTACATGTAGATACTCTGAAATGTTTGTCTTTGACTTCATGCAGGACATTCATAATTAAGATATTTGAGTGAATGCGGCTATGTTAAATAGCCAGTAACATTACTGAGCAAGCACTTTTCTGCTGGTAAGCAAAAAGCATGGCAGCCAGCAGCCAAGTTGGTGGTTTGTGGTCAGCGAGTGCTGGGACACGGAGTGTTATTGCTGCACACCTTTGATCCATGGCTTTGGAGGCGAGGGTTGGTGGATCATGCACGCTTGTGAAACTCACAAATTCTCCGAGCTGCGTGGAGGTGAGGAGATAGCAAATTAAGTAAACTGTTTTGAATCCATCTGTGCGGAGTTCTGAGAATTATCCCCCCGTATTTCGGTGTTTTCTCTTTCTACTCCGGTTTCTTCCTACAGGATAAAACTCTCATTAGACGAGTTGGTCAAACAGCCCAATTCACGCCCCTCCTGAATGCAGCTATATTATAGAACATCAAAAAAATCAAAGCCCTTGAATTTGTTGATGAGATGTTAACTACCTTGCCTGCGATACCGGAGGTCGTGGTTTCGATCCCGACCCTAACGCCTGCTGTATATTTGGAGTGTTCACGCTCTCTCCCCATGGTCGCGTGGATTTTTCCCCGGGTCCTCCGGTTTTTCCCCCCACATTTAGAAACATGCGATTAATATTTGGCTGCTATAAATTTCCACCTGATAAGCCACTTTGTTGAGTTATCATTCATGGCCAGGTCACTTCTAAAAAAGAGCTATACAGCTTAGTGGGGCTTACCTGGTAAAATAAAACACAAAAAGTGCAACAAATTGATGAGGTGATCGAGAAAGTAGATGAAGTCCATGATGCTGTCATTTAATGTGGCGTTACTTGATTAGACTATCACAGCTATTTCGCCGTGTATTTCATTAAAGCCACTGTTTGTTTCATGAACACGTGCAACAATGTGGGCTGTCAGGTTTTTCTGGGGCACACCTTTAATGCGGGACTGAAATATCTCAACATGTTGGGTGTACACCACACGCAGTTGTGGAACTGTCAGCCGTGTTACCTCGCTCTACTGCACGGTCTAAGTGGTCGATGCTGCTTATTGGCCCACATCTACAGTGCGTTGTGTTGGTGTGAGTGGACACGCCGGATTCGACAATGATGGCGCGATTTACTGAAGACAACGTGCTGGGTTCACTGGTGCTGGGGACCGTTGGTTTGTAAGTGTGGAGCGTGAGGCGTAGAGCAAAGCAGAGCGAGGCTGGCCCTGCCCGATGCGCAACACGAATCACCCTCCGGGTTGTCGTTTTGGAGGAGCCAAATTGAAGGGCTTCGATTTTTTGAATGTTTCTATTTTCGAGCATCATTATCACCAGCCATGATCAATCCACTGCTGGACGAAGGCCTCCCAAGACGCCACCATCCGTATGGTCCCGCGATGCAGCGGTGCACCCAGCAGCTGCACGCGAGGCGACCTCATCGCTGCACCTCCACGGCAGACGCCGTCCGCGGCTCTTTCCCTCCCTTGGCTGCTGCCCAGTCACGAACCTCCACCGGCGGCCATCGTCCCGTCTAGCGACGCATGCTGCCCCAGCCTGCTCACTAACAGCCAAAAGTGCATCTTGACCTGCATGTGGTCTCTGATCCGCGTGGTCCTCTTTGTTTCTCAGTGCAGTACCCAGCATGCAGCTCTCCAGGCGTCTTTGAGCACTTTTGAGCTTCTGTTCCATCCTCTTCGTCAGTGTCCCTGTTTGTGATCTGTGTCACAGCAGGTAGTCGACACAAACACTTGATAAGCGTAGTTTTCACTGAATGTGTGGCAAAGTTCAGCTCTCTTACCCTTCAATAAGCACAAATATAATTAACAGCAGTCCCTCATTGGCTCAGCCATGGCCGTCTCTCTGTGTTCGATGACGCACACAGATGACCCAGCTGGGAGGCGCTGTGCCAGAGCACCACTCCCCTTACAAACACCAGCCTCAGGGTGCTGGTCCCAGTGTGAGGATGACGCAGCTCATCATTCATCTGTGTGTCTGACGCGATAATAATGAAGTGAATACATCAGTCATTGTAATTAATAATTGTAATTATTACCTGGTAGCTTATGTTAGGCTGGGTGGCACTGCAGCAGCCAGCTCACATACCTCAGCCCATCATCACTCGATGGTTGCTGAAGCAACTGTCAACTGGAAGGTCAACTGCGGTCGGCCTTTGTAAAGACCAACGAAGGATGTAGTATTGAAGATGAAGGCAACAGGAAGGCGTCTCGACACGGGGTTCTCTCTCGTGTTGACTGTCGTATAAAAGCCGGAAGCGCTGTGCGCTCAGATTGCCCATTGACACCGGTTTATTAAAACTCATGCACCGTACTTTGCCAATCTGCAGCTGAATGAAGGAATCCGCATGCCGTGTCAGTCATGGGGATTGTGTGACCATACTTCACCACACTGGTCACTGTTGGTAAAGTGAGTGGGGTAAAGTGAGTGGGGGAAGGGAGTGCCAGTGGGACGCTGCTCCCGTCTCTGTGTGCGTCACGGTGGCACGCTGCTCACGCGTCTCTCTGTATGCCGTAGGGCCGGCTGCGTGTTCCTGCTGCTGCCCTTCGGTGGCGTCTACACGGTCGAGGTGAACGAGTGCGACCGGGTGAGCGACGTGGTGAGCCGAGCCAACGAGCGCCACGGGCCCCTGGTGCCGAGCGTGGCGACCTTGCACCACCAAGGCAGGCGGGTGAGTGCAGCCACGCACTGCAGACGATGCACTCACTCGCTGTGCTGCTGCTGCTGGGTAGCCGGCCTCTCCACACCACGAGGCGTGCCCCAGCACTGTCGCCTCCTATGATGCCTCTCAATTGCTCTCTGTGAACTGCTTCACATTTGTCGTGTATCAATTGTTGGTTTACCATGAACAGCAGCGGGATGGTGGAGCCCTTCGTCATGAGGGGCTGTGTTGCACACTCGAAATGAAGGACGTGGGCAGGTGCTCCAAATCGAGGGCAAACACATTTATTGTGGTAAATTTGTAAAATACAACAGCACGTTGTGTCACACAGCAATCCTCAACCGAGTCGCAATTAATCACCTGACTGGTGTACAAGTCCGGTTAATCAATAACAGTTTCTCTTAAACCCAATTCTACTACTGATAAACCATCTTTGTCTTTGACAATAACCCTTGGACTTCACTATTCGAATATTACTTTCATCCTAAGCTGTATGTCTATCTTTACCATCCACTTATATCGATATCTTACACCCATTATCTGTACTGTATGTGTACAGTATACGGACTACTTGTCACCATTGTACAACTTACTACTGTACATGTGTTCTATTCGTAATAGCATTGCAAGTAGTCATACTCTGGGTGCATGGGCATGATTATAGAATTAACAGTATTAGGGTTAGAGAATTACAAGTATTAACTACAGTACGTCATCCTTTACAGTGCACAGTGCTAAAACCCCTCCTATTGAATATATCACAAACTAACAATTCGAAGCCAAGCTTGAAGTCTAGAACAAGTCTAGAACATTTATATAACGATCAAAAACAACCTTTGGGTCCTTTACCTGTAGAATACAACAGCACGTGTGTCACACAACAATTCTCAGCCGAGTCGCCATTAACCACCTGACTGGTGTACAAGTCTGGTTAATCAACAACCCTGCCAGCCACCCACAGGCCCAATTTAGTTATCACATGCTGGTGTACAAGTGCATTGATGTACTGCACAGCACATAAGGACTTTCACAAAACCACACTTTACTCCCTTGCTGCACGAGGAAATAATTAAAAGAGTGGTCCATTCCTAATGTGCCACAGCTGCTTGCTGAGTGTGGGTGGGCCGTGGGCCATTCATTGCGCATCCCAGATCAAGCACCCTCATATCTGCCCTCTGAGCCCCTACTGCCCTCTGAGTAGGCAGCCCGGCAGGCAGCCTCACCAGGGAGGCGGGCAGGGCAGTCGGCGGGGCCAGGCTGAGTGTGAGAGCCGGTGCACAGATTGGGCTGTCTGTGCACTGCTACTACTATGCAAGTTGCTTGTTTGTAGAATATGGCCATGGAACAAGACTTTAACAATTAAAAATTGTCATAATCTCCTGCTTGTTACAACACCCACATGCCTTACTGCATGTATGTATGTTGAACTTTTATCAAACCGTACATTGCTACCCATGCTAATCATACATATCCAACCGTACTGCAGACAAAGTCAGCTGAGTAGTAGAGACGTAGACAGAGTGGCGTGCACTGGGAGGCAGCCTCTATGGCTGACCGCGGCGCTGTTCTCGTCAGTGACACGCGGCTGCCCGTGTGCCACCGTGGCTGCCACGGTGAAGGGTTGTGTACTGAGGTGCAAAGTCCTTGCAGGTCAACTCAGGCCAGGCAGTGTAACCCAGACGCCCACAGTCACTCAAACACGCACACGATAATGATCACACTGAAGGCCACAGCGGTCTGTGTTGTGGTGCAGCTGCCGTTGTAATGTTTATCTGAATCAATCGCGCGCCGATGTCGCTCCCAGTGTTGCAACGAAGCCTGTCTCTTGAAGCTGCAGTCCGTTTGCACGCGTGAACCACGTATGGTGCCTAACAAATGAAAGGCACTACCTAGGAGAAGACATATCACGTGAGCTGGACAGCCGGTAGTGCTGCTGACTAAAAGCCGCCATGGCTCATCATCATCAGCGGTGATCAATCCACCGCTGGGTGAAGGTCTTCCCAAGCCATCACTCTCTGTCACTGTCCTGCACTGTAATAATTCATCCAGCGCCTGCAGGCAAGCTGATTCCATCGCTCCATCTCTAATGTGGACATAATCAAGGGTGCGAGCCCCTTCTTGGCTGTCATTCGTCTCGACCACGGCCATCGTCCCTTCTCGTGGTATTGTCACCACAACGCAGAAGAAGGTGAACGCCCCAAGTTGGTGACTGCCCGACCAGAGCCACCGAGGCAGAAGTCCATCCCTGCCGTCGAGCCCCAGGGGTGTCCCGACGTTGCCTCAAGGGCCGCGTTGACGAATGAGCAGAGAGCAGTGGGGCACAGCAATGAAACAAACAAATAGAGAGGGAGAGAGAAGGGATATGAGAGATAGGATATATGCAGAAGAGTTATGGGTGATCGTGATTTCATAATACAGATGAATGATTAGTTATGATACATTGTGTTATATGTATAATGTCTTTTACACATCTTCTTGGTTCTTTCGGTAAAGTCACGTAGAAGGGAAATAAAAAAATAATAAAAATAAAGCATAATTAAATTCTCACGACGTTTCGGCCACAACGCAAGCAGCCGTCCTCAGGTGAAGAAACAGAGCTGTCGGAAAGACAGCGTCTTAATGAACACTGCTAAGCTTGGCAGCATATTTTAAGCTGGGTGGGAGGAGAGAGCCTTGACAAAGGAGTTTACATATCAACAGAGGAATTTAGCATATTGATGACAAATGCAGATATGGGGTTAGCCAAAGAACTGCTGCAGTTCTTTATTATTAAAATTTCCCTCCCTTTATTACTGCTAATCCTACATAATACACTAGCATAATATGACTTTGAGACCCCCCACCGCCTACACATTCCGAAAGGAGTGACTAACCCCATATCTGCATTTGTCATCAATATGCTAAATTCCGCTGTTGATATGTAAACTCCTTTGTCAAGGCTCTCTCCTCCTCCCACCCAGCTTAAAATACGCTGCCAAGCTTAGTGTTCATTAAGATGCTGTCTTTCCGACAGCTCTGTTTCTTCACCTGAGGATGGCTGCTTGCGTTGTGCCTAAAACGTCATGAGAATTTTATTTTATTATGTTTTATTTTTATTATTTTGTTATTTCCCTTCTACGTCACTTTACCGAAAGAACTAAGAAGATGAATCCCTGCAGTCACGAAAGCTTTAAATCGAAGTCTTTTACACAATGTATTATACACATAATTTATTATACAGATAATGTATGATACACATAAAGTATTATACACATCATGTATTATACTGAAAGCCACTTGGCATTAGAGGCCGACCGAAATTTGGCTTCGGTTTCGGCGCCGAAAGTTGGCAAATGGCCTCTTTCAGCACACTTTCGGTTTCGGTCGAAAGTCAATTTTAAACTTTCGTTCTGGTTTCGGCTTTGGCCGAAACTGATATTGACTTTCGGTCATTTGTGAACCAAAGATCTACTTTTTGAATATAATGCTAGTGCTACATCTATCACTTTGCCTATCGGCCGGTCAGTCAGCGCTAAGCAATCTTATGCGATAGGCTGACACACACACACGTCAGCAGCAGCATCTTGGGAGCGAGATTACAGGCACAACCATGGGCTGCTAATGTCTATACAACCGGTCAACAGACAGCAGCCTGTCTGGCTGAATGCGGAAAAACTGTTGTTTCTTAACTACAACATTTCTTTGTTTGGATATAATTACTAAGTAAGTAACACCTAAAGATTTTATATTTAGCGACTTTTACTGCAGGCTCTGAATGATTAGTTCTAGATTTATTTTTAATTAAAGTAGCATTGCATCATGACATATTTAATAAATCTTGTGTTCAGTAACTTCGGTTATATACCTTTCTGTTTCGGTCTCAGTCGAAAGTGTAGTTAAAGTTTCGGTTTCGGCTTCGGTTTCAGCAGAAAGTCAATTTTTTACTTTCGATCTGGTTTCGACTGAAACACAGCCACGGTCAAATTTACCAGAATTGAAACCAGAAATTCAATTTCGGTCGGCCTCTACTCTTAGTGGCCCCTCCCCTACCTCCCACGGCTACAATGATGCCACAGTGACACTGCGTTCAAACTCCATTCGGCGCGGTTAAGCCAGGACTAGGTGAGACCGTCCCAAGGTAAAACCGAAAATATTCACGATCTGCCACTACGCATTTTGAAAATGAAAACCGTGGATCTGGAGATGAAGTGAGGGGGGAGGTTGACGCCTCGTCGCGCTCCGCGATGACCCCGTGACGGGGAGCCCGGCACCGAGCGCCGCCGAGGAGCAGAGCGTGCGCAGCCCCCTCGTCACGGAGAGCTCCGGAGGCCACGAGCGAGCGCGCTCAGCGCTGGGGAATCTGGGCTGAGCCTGCGAGCAGAGCAGCGCCCCTCCAATTGGTCGTGGATACTCAGCACGAGGGCTCCGGTGCGCCTACCCCTCTGACTCAGCTTAGCGACTTGGCAATCTTGAAAGGCGTCTGTATTTATATTTGCGTGTACATCATCCATGATTGTCATGTCACTGCGGAAGTCTTACACCAAAAAGTGCGTCTACGCTGTATCCAGGGGTTGAACCCCCAACAAGCAGCAGCAGGGGAGTACTGCAGCAAAGGGCGGATTGCCGTGAGGGTGGTGGGAGGCGATGGAGGGGACTGGGGCGCAGTGCAGCGCGAGCCAACTCGGTCATCGAGCTGCCTGCAACGCGACTCCCTGATCCATGACCGTGACTGTGTCACTCATCATCAGTTATTGCCACATGCTCCTTGCGTAGCACTCTGACAGGCTAACAAATGGAAATAGTTTTGTAAGAGATCAGTTATCCCTTACATTGTTCTTCATAGTTTTTCAGAGGAAAAACACACAATTGTAGTTTCCATGTGCAGCATTATCACGTGTGTGTCGGTACACTCCATTGTCAATCGTCGCCATCTTTGTTTGGCAGCTCACGGTGACCCTGATCATTCCGCACACTTGGACACCGAGTGTCGGCGGACCCGGCAGCGTTGCGGTCAGCGGTGACTGGCGCTGCACGAAGATCGAGACTCTTTACAGACATTGAACCAGTTCAGAGGAAATGTGAGACAGAACGATTTAATAGCCCTTACAATGCTTGAACAGTGCACACTCGTGATAACCTACAGTAGGTCATGAGAGTTGTATGTTGATAAATACACTTATGCGCATCAGTGAATGACCTTGCCTCGTTTGTTTTTTAAGCTGCCTCTCTCCACGAGGCTGTCTACGCACGGGGGCCTCCACGAAGCCAACCTGCACGTGCAGTACCCGCTGAGGGGTGGCAGCTCTCCAGGTGTGTGGACCGCTTTCCCTGACGTCTCTGACATCGTCCACCGGGTCTCCCGCCAGGCGACGCACGCGCCAGGCGAGGCGCTCCCGGGCCGGTCTGCTCACCTCGGTGCACGCATGGCAGAGCTCTGGCTTTCCCATGCTGGGCCAGTGAGGGTGATTGTTGGGCCGTGCTATTGTCAAGACTGTCATTTTAGCAAGGTCCTGTTTATAAACGAGTGCAACTAAGAAAGATCACGCATACGAGAGGGTAGCACGCTTGATTTCTACACAGATGGATTCAATAATCAATTGAGTCATTGCTGTAACAGCAATCACCCAGTCACATTATGGCCCAAGCTAACAACACTGGGTATTTACAGGCAGTCTGCTATCCGAGCACTAACCAGGCCCGAATGCACTTGACGTCTGACATCTACGAGACCGAACACATTCACGATGCTTGGGCATGACGACGATGTACTGCTTCAGGTTCGGGGCGTTTTCAGCAGAGAAGAGCCTCTTTTGAATTATATCTGAGTATCATGAATCTTCAAGATCATGGATATTGTCAAGCTGCTTGGAAGGCTGCTACAAGCCTTGTCAGAAGCAATGAGAGACAACGAGCATGCACTACTGAGCTCTGAGGTTAAAATACTGGGACTGGGTGTCTCTCTCAGGAAGTTTATAACCTCATAAGTTTGGCGAGTTACTTAATTTCCAGTTTTTATCACAAACCAGAGTACCCAGAGGCAGAGTAACTAACTGCAGATCGGGAGTCTCAAGCAAGTAATGGTCTCCGAGTGATCCACCGATACCCACACTAACAAGTGCTGCGTTACAGCTGTGGGGGAAAAGAAAGAGCAGGGGGACCAATGGAAATGTCCATGCAGTCCGTACAGGTATCACCACACAGTGGAGACTTGTATCTCAACAACATTTGGACTCCATAGTTCAAACGTGGGCAAAGTATTGCAGGAATGTTCTAGGCTTGCACCACTCGGTGCTTGATGAGCACCCTCCTTCACAATAGCACCCTCATAAGAGAAAGCTAAACACGGCCTTTTGTGTGCATAGCTTGAAAGGGTTATCCAGGTGCAACGTGAATCCCAACAATTGTTTGGTAGAACACGGCCAGGATTTTAGAGCTTTTTGCACTGGAATCATATTTTTTAAATACGGGGTTTATTTAAGTGGAGTCACATATCGGCAGGCTTGCTCAAATTGCCATCTGATCATAGCTCGTAATTATTTAGAGCGACTGAGGAAGGGGGAGAGATAGTGAACATGGAGACATTATGGATGTGAGAGATTATAAATGGGGAAAGATAATAGAAAGAGATAAGGGATTGGGAGAGATAAGGAGTGTCTGAAGTGAAGCCTGAACAGTGCCACGTGAAGCACTCCCCTTGACCGCCATCCCCAGCCTCTCTGCACGGCTCCACAAAGTGAATGCGCTGCCGCTGTTACACGCGGACGTGTGATGCACACAGCTTGTTTCCAACACAATTTCAGGTGAACATTTAAATGGGCAATGTGTTGCTTCGGTTGCTCATTATTAAGAGCTGGATGCTTATTATTATGAAATTTATAATGCAATCAACGCCATACGTTTCTAACCACACAGATATATACACAAAAATGTATCGGCCTTTATAGGTTACGTAAAAACACCATCAGCAGTTCCTGAAGAACTGCAATGGTGACTACAAATGTAAAAAACAAAAACTAAACTATTTTTATTTTACCAGGTAAGGCCCACTGAGCTATAGAGCTCTTTTTCAGAAGCAACCTGGTCACATATGAGTGCTCAACGAAGTAGCTTGTCACGTGCAAATGGATAGCAGCCAAATACTATAAAGGCAGGTTTCTAAATGGGGGGTGAAAAATCGGAGGACCCAGAGAAAAATCCACATGACCCCGGGGAGAACATGCAAACTCCAAATATACAGGCGTCGGGGATTGGATCGAACCAACGACCTCCTGTATACCAGGCGAGGTAGTTAACATCTCACCACTGTGGCGACTGACAGTAGCAGTGAGGTAGAGACAACTGCAGACCAGTTTCGTTCTTCTTAGGACTCATCAGTACAGTGTCCAATGGTCTTCAGGAACAGCTGTTGTTTTTACATGATGCATGTTTCTATGGTTTAGGAAATTTACGTTTTTTCCGGCCTGCACTACATTTCTATTGTGATGATTTAATCATAGACTAATGGCAAAACACACAAATCCAGTATATAGCTCACAGTAGTTTATAAAACCGAGTCTTGAGTGCAATAAAATACCCAAATACACCCCTCAACGTCTTTGGCCCTTCGCAGGTCCATGGCTCGAGTTTATCTCTTTCAGATGCCACTGACCCTGGTCACCTGACAGCAGCACACGCTCAACTCGGCTTCTTGAGCCATACCGAGGGAAGGAAGGTTGAGGTGGCTTCCTGTAGCCTTCCTCAACTCTTTTAAATTCGGTGACACCATCGCCAGATGCAATTTTACTTCACACCCTGAATGTACCCAATTTCTTTTTTATGTAAAGGTTTTAGGTTTTTAATCTTCAACGTTTTTTTTTTTTCAATTTCACATTTAGGACGTGAGGGTGATGACAAGAATGTGAAGCTGCCTTCCAGTATGCAAGACTGGAATGAAGACCATGTTCGCTACTGGTTGGTTCACGAAGTTAAATTGAAAGAGCAACATGCCAACAAATTACACGAGGAAGAGTTAACAGGGCCTTCTTTAGTAAAGGTGCAGCGTGAACAACTCAAGGAGTTTGGTCTCAAGTCGCTACAAATATCCTTACTCATAGACTCGCGTGACGAATACCTGAAGTCCAAGCCCAAGTCGTCCAGCACCCATAGCCACATAGCAGCAACACCTGCACGCGGTTCTGTGAATGCTCAGAGCCACCGTGAAACAAAGGGGGCACAACTCGTTCCTGGCAGCACACAAGCCAAGTTCTCAAACTCTGAAGAAAACCCTCCGAATAAAAACAAGAAAATAAATAAAAAGGGCACAGAACAACAGCAAGAGAAGTGTGCGGATCAGAAGCAGACAGAGCCAGGTGATGTGGTTCATGGTGATGACACGAACATAGCACAGCAGGTACATGAAGAAGCTTCACAACCACCTGCAGAGGTGGGGACACAGGAGCATTCCGCTGTTGATGATTCAAGCCAACAAAACACCAGCAAGAGTCAGGTGAATATTTGCTCACCATGCCCATTTGATCACCATTACACATCACACAGATATATCAGAGGAAGTGTGCTGCCTAGTGAAACAGGAATCACAAACTATATAGATCCGGTTCACGAGTTTAAGCTTTTTGCCTGTCAGGGCGACGTTGATGAAGAATCCAAGATGAAGAAATTCTGTAATGAGGTGTTCAGGTTCTCTGCTGGGTGCATGAACAGGAGGACAAATGGCACCATACACTTTGGTGTGGGAGACACGAAGAGCGGGTACAGGCACGGTGAAGTTAACGGTGTCCACGTAGAAGACCAGAGCAAGTTTGTTGATACAATCGACAACAACATCTCAAAGTACTTCCAGAAAGACAGGATCGAAGATGCTAAAGAATGCATACGACCTCCAAGATTTGTGGAGGTCATTTCGCCTGAACATACAAGTCTTGGTGCATACGTGATAGAAGTCGATGTTATCCCTAAGAGCACAATATGCAAAGACAATGTTTATGAAATAAAGCAAATGAAACACGTCAATGGAAAATGGCAAGCGGATAAAGAGAACCACGTGTATAAGCGAGACGGTGCATCTTCTAAGGATATTCTGGCAACACAGAATTCGGAACAGTGGAAAGAAGAGTATAGACGCGTTTGTGAAGATGTGAAAAAGTGGAATGAGCAGAGAAAACTGGCCGAAACCAACCAAAAAATAGTTCGTAAGCCAGATGATGAAGGCAAAAAACTAACTCATCTGATAACAGGAGGAAAAGGGACACTCGATGATTCGTATTTTAGTTCCTACATTTTGGTGGTTAACAAAGCAGACAAAAGCCAACTTCAACATCTTGAATTTGTGAAAGAAATAAATTGGTTTGCTGTCCTTGATTTTGACCCTGAATCTAACGTCTCTGGACTGTGCAGCCGTGTCCGTCCTGATAGATCACTTAATCTGCATTTTCCTTGGCAGTTTGTAGAACGTGAACATTCTGACATTGAAACATTAGCCAAGGAGCTTAACCTTCACAAGCAAACCAGCTGGATATTCTGCAATGGAAGGGCAGACATAGGCAATAACAAAGCCATGGATGCAAAAGAGTTTCAGAGAAAGCAGAGTGGAAACCACAGCAGGCTGGTTAGCTTGTTGTGCCACAAGGACCTTTTGCCAAGTGGGAGATTTCTTGTTGTGTTTCTGCCCCTCATGAAAGTTGACAATTTGATTGACCCAATGATGGAAACATTTTTCTACTTTCATCAGGAAATGCAGGGCCTTGCTGATATTATGTTGATAACAGAAAACGTGGCAACATACGAGAGCTGGGCCAACCTTGCACAGACAAAAGTTGACGAAACTGACTTGGGACATAAATCAATTCGTGTTATGAGTTTAGAGCACGTAAACTCAACTATTTTCAAGATCAAAGCTGCGTCAAAAAGCAGACAGCGCTTTCTGCGTACGTCCACGGGGGGCTCCTGCTGTTTGACCAAAGTGCAGGAGGAGCGCATGTCTTCCCTCACGGTTGTTTGTGAGAATGAATGTGAAGGCACTGAAGTAGAAAAAGATGAGAAAGGTTTTGACGACTTTCGAAGAAGTATTGAGGAAAACTACTACAAGGGAGGAAAAGTCTGCCCGTGGAACTTTTATTTCTCTGAAAAGCGAAGAAAGCCTTTCATCAAACGTGAGCCGTTTCGTCCTTTAAAGCAGAATGTTGAAGATGCACTTAGGTCAAAGCGATGCCTTCAAATGGTGAATTTGTTTCACCATCCTGGCTGTGGAGGAACAACACTTGCATGGCATGTCCTGTGGGAGCTCAGGAAAAGGTTTAGGTGTGCTGTGATTAAAAACAACTATGATGATCACAGAGAAATTGCCATTCAAGTCAAAGCACTGCTAAAGTATGCAGAGGCTGACCCTAATATCTACACCCCGGTTCTTCTTCTCGTTGATGATGCTGATGATGCAGAAAGCCTCAGAAACCTGCAACACAGCATAATATCCGAGCTGTCAGATGTTCCATTTGATGAGCCACTCATTGTGATGATTAACTGCATGCGCTCACAGGCCCCGGAAGAAAGTCGAAAGGCAAGTGTTTTTGACAGTGTCATTTTAGAGCACAAACTTTCTCCAACAGAGCAAGAACGGTTTGAAAAAAAGCTTAAAGAAATCGAAAATGATTACAAAGAATGTGACAGCTTCCTTTCGTTTATGATCATTAAGAAAAATTTTGATACAAATTACATCGCAAATATGGTAAAGAATATGATGAAAGGTGCTGACTGCAACAGTGAAAATGGTAAACTTATCAGTTACATTGCATTGCTAAACAGCTACGTAAAGAACGCATCAATACCGGTGACTCGGTGTGAGGTGATTCTTGGAATCTCACACGTAAAATCCACATTTTGGAGAAAGCAAACTCTTGACGATGGGCTGAGCAAGCATGCTAAATTACTGCTCATTAAATGCCCCATGGATGAAGTGAATGGCACTTATGAATCTGTGAGAATGTCACACCCACTAGTGGCAGAGCAAGTGCTGAAAGAATTTGAAACAACTGGTGGCCCATCAAGATGTAAAATTGCACATGATATCCTGGATGAACACTCACTTTACACGGATGGTATGGGGAGAGAATACTTGGTAAAAAATGTGAGAAGCATGTTCATCACACGCCATCGAAAAGAACAGGGTGATGAGACAGATACTCTCTTTGCACCCCTCATTGAAGATGTAATTTCAAACAAATTCAGTGCATCTCAGTCAGGCCATGTGGTGACCGGCATGGAATTGGCCAGGAATGTGCTGCTTCGTGCAGCAGCCAGATTCCCAAAAGATGCAGTAATGGCTCAGGCTCTGGCAAGGTATTACTCCCTAAAAGAGAAAACATTTGGCGAAGCTAAACATTGGGCAGAGATTGCAAAATCATTGGCCAAAAGTAACTCGTATATCACAGATACAATTGGTCAAGTTTACAAGTGTGAGCTGAAGCAGACATATGACCTCCGTGCAATTGAGAACAGGGGCTTTCTCCTTCCATCAGATCTCAATAAAGCACTGCAGCTGGCAAAAAGGGCATCTGACTTTTTCAAGGAAGCACAGGAACTGGCTAAGAAGGAAGATGATGTTTTCAACACTGCTGGATTCTTTGGTGATGTTGAAGTGGCCTCATACATATTGCACCTTTTTGATCTTACCAAACTGTTTGACAAAAACTACGAAATTAACAAAAAAACGAAGGTGGCATATCTAAATGGAAGGATAGACTTGTCACGGATTCCCACAAGTGATGAGGAATTAAGAGCCACAGTGGAAGTTTTACAAAATAATGAATGGTACCTTCGAGAATTAAAAAACCGAATGAAGATTTCTTTGGAGTTTTTGGAAGACTACTTTTGGCTCTTTAAGGCCAGGTATTCTGAAAAGGAAAAAACTGAAAATAGAGTCCGTCACACAATCTTGCGTTACTATTCTCAGTACACAGATGCTTTTTGTTCAAACATTTTGGACGGTGATAACAAAGTGGATGCCGCCAAATGCCCTCGACTGAGTGCCAGATCAGAGATTGAAGCAAAACATGGCGATCGATTTACAGGGCTAATACGATATCTATCGCCTCAAAATAACCAAATGAAAAGCCTTGAATGTATAATTAGCAATTATGAAAATATACTTGCTGAAAGCAGAAATGGTAACAATGTTAAGGAAAAGCAGAATTTTATTTTTGCTAACCTTGTCTTAAATTGCGTCAGTCCGACATCCAAAAGAATTTCTCCACATGGAAAACTGCAGTTGATGGTCAAAGACATGGTCCTTGAGATAGGGTTGGAGTACCGATTTCCTGAACCATACTTTCTGGCAATGCTGCTCCTGTGGCCCAAAGCAGACAGCAACAGGCGTGATGTGCGCACCCTGGCAAGTTGCATTGAGGCCATGAAGCGATCATTCCGAATGAAATATGAATTCATTAGCCGTAAGCGTCAGTTTATGACCAACTTTTTCTTGGGAAACGGCACCGGACTTAACAGGATCGTGTCTCGTCAGAAGATAGACAAGACTTCGGAGATGCAGGGAACTGGGAAATCGTTGCATCAATTATGGCTCAGTGGAGATATTCTGAAAGTGAGACGGGTTGAGGAAACGCTTTTCAGAGTGCACGGATCAACCAACGATGAAGGAAATATATTTCTGGATCACAAATTCAATGTTGGAGACGATAAGAATGAGGCGATCAAGATCCCTGTGCGCCCAGTAAACCTTGGACAGCTGCGGAAGGGCAAGAGCATTGAACGTGTTAAATTCTTTGTGGGATTTTCTATGGATGGTCCCATTGCCTATGACGTACAGCCTGTACAGGACTTCTGAGATAGATTGTGTTATACAGCCCTCTGAATATTCAAAACTATATCCTTGAATGTACAGGAAGTTTTCAGTTAATTTTAACATTATTACAAATATATCTACATAAGCAATCAATGTCTGTAAAACTTTGAGAAGATAAGGACATGTTCTATGTTCTCTAGTATACAAACTTAAGTGAAGAAGTAAAAATTATATTCTTAGCTCTTTCGGTAAAGTCACGTTGAAGGGAAACAATAAAATAATACAATATTTTTTTATATAACGTGACTTTACCGAAAGAGCTAAGAATATGAATTACTGCAGTCACGAAAGGTTTAAATCAAAAGTAAAAATTAGTTTACAGCTATAAACGGTATCTTAACAGAGGATATCAATGAACCATCTTACAATCAACTATTTAATTCAGAGGTACTTTTGTCAAAATAACTTTGTCTCCAGATCAAGATACTATCATGGGCACAGCAAGTGATGCCACAGCACTTTGCCAATCCTATATACCTTCTGCCAGATCCTGAAGGCGCTGTAAAGTAGACACGATACCTCCAACATCTGCCTTAACAGGATCGCACCACCTGGCCTTCGGTCTTCCCCTTGGTCGCCAGATGTATGGAGACCACTCCAGTGCTCTGTCTCAGAAACCAGGACTCCTCCTTCCTGTACACGTGTCCTATCTAGCTTTTGCCTGATCATATCTACAACATAGACCTGGCATGTTCTCTTCTGGAATGCTGCATTGCTCATACATTTCATCATGTTGGTCTCGGATATCTGTACTCAAATGCGAACAATTTATTTTTAAACTGCATATAATCCATCTATTTGACTTATGCAATAATTTAGACACCACTTCTACGTAAATTACCATCTTTTTTACGGCCAGATTTGTTTACTTTCTTTACCAAAGTGATATCCCCAGCTCTTCAAACACCTGACCTGCTAAAGCTATATGCCTCCTGACCTAATTCTCACAAACCCCATGCATTGTGGATGGTATTGCCCAAAACACAAAGTCCTCTACCACCTTAACCTTATTTCCTCCTGCGACCCTATTGTAGGAGCCCCATGTCTAACGATAGCCATTAACTTCGTCTCGTGATTGTTTACACCTTAAGATCCTAATGCCCAGCTGCAGTTCATCACGACTGCCAACAGCTGGACAGCTCCAGCCACAGTACTCGCCAACAAATTCGCTTCTGTCTGCACAAGTCCCACATTCATCTCAGCTGCACTGATCTATGGGTGTTTTACTGTGCTAACTCCATTCAAATTGTCATTGAACACGTAGTCCAGCACAACGTTAAACAATGTGATGAATGCTTGTCCAAACATCAAACCATTCTGATGACACCTATTCATACACAGGCCTATCTACTACGATACAGGTGCTCAATCAGCCAACTTAATTATCTTACCTGCGACCTCGCAGTCATTCGCTTGCTTAACATCGATGAAGCAAATGCAGAGGTCCTCCCCATATCCCCAACTCTTCTGTGTAAAGATCAGGTCACTGCAGTCTCTCCTTGATCTAAATCCATGATTTTCCTTTGAGTCCTTTTCTTTATGATTATGAACCCCATTTACCAAGTTTTTAGTAAATCCCTCACGTGGAGTGCTCAGCAGGCTTGGCCCACTAGTTACTGCTCTCCTTTCTCTCCCTGTCATTGAATGCGATGCCTTCCAGTGCTGTGGTAGCTGGCCTCTATTCCAAGCAGCTTTGATTACCTGAAAAATAAAGGTGATAACTTATAGAATTACAATATATGTCAAAACTACCGTATACCATTTGCGATTTTTACCAAATATATTATCTTTTTTCCTAACTGAACTGCATTTTGCTGACTAACCACGTTCTAATCAAATATTTTAAGGGAAAATGTGTTTTTACTTTACATATTTGATAGTTTGATCTACTGATATTGATTTCTTGTAGCTGTCTAAATAACCTGATTTTATTTGATTAACAGCATATATTATACACACACACAAAGATCATTGTATATACTGACTATTGAAACGAGTCATACGAGTTACTTTTGTGGATATCCTATAGTATATTTATGTATGAAACATTCCATAGGCTACACACGTTTCGTTTTTGCATAAGTATTAACCCACATGTCCATTGGAGGTGCCCATCCGTCCACCCTCCCTCCAGTCAGCCAGCCAGCCAGCAAAACTTGTGTTTGATGTCGTACAATCTGATACTATGATAGCAGGCTGGTGGGTGGTTGGGGGGGGGGACATGACGTCAGCACGCACGAACCCGGCTCAACGCTGTTCGATGCGAGTGACGTCATCGCGCAGATGTGCGCGATGATGTCACCACTTGGCCACGTGCCGGTCGCGCGCCAGCCAGACAGGAATCCAGCCAGACAAACTTTGTTTCTATTCTCGTACGAGACGTGGATGTACTCGCGGGTATATTGAGCTCCGTGAGAGATGTGCAGCGCTGTAGCGAGGGCGGGGCAAGCCGCGGGCTGTACGGGCGGCGGGCACGGGGATGGCGCCTTGCCCCGAGTGCCGTCCTCAAGGTGCTGTGCAGCAGCATGTTACAGCTCTTCCACTTCACTACATTGACTGTGCAGCAGCATGTTACAGCTCTTCCACTTCACAACATTCACTGTGCAGCAGCATGCTACAGCTCTTCCACCTCACTACATTCACTGTGCAGCAGCATGTTACTGCTCTTCCACTTCACTACATTCACTGTGCAGCAGCATGTTGCAGCTCTTCCACTTCACAACATTCACTGTGCAGCAGCATGTTACAGCTCTTCCACTTCACAACATTCACTGACGAGCGCGCATGCGTCTCGATGCGTTATCTGCATGGCACAGGTTTATACGATAAAATAAAACGTTGCATGAAAAATGCGTGACTAATTTCTTGTGAGTTAAACTGCTTCTATGAGTCTTCTTGGTTCTTTCGGTAAAGTCACGTAGAATGGAAATAAAATAATAAAAATAAAACAATAAAATAAAATTCTCACGACGTTTCGGCCACAACACAAGTAGCTTTCTTCAGGTGAAGAAACAGGACTGTCCAGAAGAAAGCGCTAGAGTGAACACTGCCAAGCATGGACCGCGTCTTTTAAGCTATGTGGACGGAATTAACATGAATTAGCATGTTACCCAGCCACACCTCCGGAGTGGATGAGGGGGGGGCTGAGGACCACAGAAAAAAGAAAAGGAGTAGGACAGCCAAGGTGCGCTGCTCTGTCCTGTGTTGCGATATAATTATGCTATATAACTAGACTGCTATACAATACAATATTATACCTTCCAATCTAAACTACATGGTATAATATCATATCCATAGAAAAATTCCACCTTTTAATTATACACTGCGTTACTATACACTACCCTATACTTTAGACTATAAAATATTAGACGTAATATTACACTGTCTTATTCTATCAACCCTACTGTATGACACTGCTGTATATTCTCTATACAATTGCGATACTATATATTGCCTTATGAATTATGTTAAACATTACAATGTTATACTATTTATTATTATACCACATGCTATACACCATACCATTGACCGTCGTGGAGGTGGTGCTGGGCAACATGCCAATTCATGTTAATTCTGTCCACACAGCTTAAAAGACGCTGTCCATGCTTGGCAGTGTTCACTCTAGCGCTGTCTTCTGGACAGTCCTGTTTCTTCACCTGAAGAAAGCTACTTGTGTTGTGGCCGAAACGTCGTGAGAATTTTATTTTATTATGTTTAATTTTTATTATTTTATTTCCATTTTACGTGACTTTACCGAAAGAACCAAGAAGATGAATCCCTGCAGTCACGAAAGCTTTAAATCGAAAAATGCTTCTATGAGCTCTTCACACTCATTGGGTCTGATCGCTATAATTCCACAGCAAGTGCAGAATAACAATGATGGGGTGATGAAGACGATGTTAAAGATGGTGATATGACAATCATAGTGTTTAGAAATGGTAACGTATGAGAAATATAGTGATTATGGTAGATGGATGAAAATTATTGTAGAAATAGATTAATGAAAATATAACAAGAATGAATCTGCAGCTACAACTGCTCATCATCCAGCAACCCCAATCCACAAACACCACCGCCCCCATCCCCTGTTAATCCACCATTGCTCATCTCCAAAGTGCATACTGCATGAGGGACTCGTCTCAGGCTGAGTCGCAATAAGAGTGGCTCGACACAGGCTCAACTGGTACAGTATTTGCCGTGGCCGGAAATCAATGGTGGGGTGCCAGGTTCGAAGCGCAGTGAGCGAGCTACTGCACCACCGCTGCCCGTCATCGCCACCGTGATCATTGTGTCGCACCTGGCACGTCACTACATCACGAGGCGCATGCAAATTGTTTTACCACGTGCACCAAATGCCCCCCCCCCCCCATCTACAAACACCACAGCCGCACGTTGCTGTACAGAGAAACGTACAAATCAACTCTCGATTATCCGCGGGAAGACGATCGACGTTGCGGATTCACGGTGCCCACTCAATGGGTGTCGTTTAATTTGATCCGTGAACCGCGGAGTTTCACTGAAGACACAAATCGGAAACATTCTCCAGATGGCCGCTAGTTCGACTTTGAGCTGGGTGCCGGATCGACCGAGCGGAATCGATACATTGAGCTGCGAGTCACGATCCACGACGACCATATTTGGACAGACAAGCCCACTCGGTTAAGGCCACGCCCACTTCCTGCTGATACAAATAGGGCGCGGGGCCTGTTACAGCCCCGCCTCCTGTGGGCTGCGCTCCGTCACTCGTTGGCTGCGAGGCAGTGACGCGGCGCATGGTGACGCCCACAACTCCGCCTCAGCCGCGCCCCTCCAGCTGCTCCGCGGGCTGCAATGCCACTGCGGGTTCGTGACAACGTGGACGACACGCGCCTTGTATCGTACATCGATTAATATACAGGATGCTTCAAACAGAATGGTAACACTTGTATGGGACTATCGTTTTTAATGTAAAAAGCACGGATAATAATACACTGTAGCATGATAACAAATGTAATGTTAATCGCTTAAAAAAGTCAGTCTCCACTTGTTCGCCATCTATGTCAACACGTGCCTGAAATCTTCTCCAGGTGCTCTCCAGAGAGGCACTTTTCTTGTGGTATTGTTGCAAATTCTCTGAAGTGTTTACATTTCTATGAAGCACCCTCTATTGTACTCATGATGTTTAATTTAAAAAATGTAATCTTCTTTGGTTCTTTCGGTAAAGTCACGTAGAATGAGAATAAAATAATAAAATAACAATGAAATTCTCACGACGTTTCGGCCACAACACAAGTGGCCTTCTTCTGGTGAAAGGAACAGACCTCTCGGGACGACAGAGCTTCAATGAACGTTGTTAAGATTCGTAGCGTCTTTTAAGCTGGTTTAGAGAAGTGATAGAAATAACTATGTTAAAGTCAAAGCCTACACATCCACAGAGCACCTAGTACAAATCAAACAGGATAATTTAGCATTGAAATAACTGAGTGATCAGCTTGTGACTGGGCATAGAAATAGCTATGTTAAAGTCAAAGCCTACACATCCACAAAGCACCTTGTACAAATCAAACAGGATAATTTAGCATTGAAATAACTGAGTGATTAGCTTGTGACTGGTCATAGAAATAGCTATGTTAAAGTCAAAGCCTACACATCCACAGAGGTACCTAGTACAAATCAAACAGGAGAATTTAGCATTGAAATAGCTGAGTGATTAGCTTGTGACTGGTCACAGAAATGGCTATGTTAAAGTCAAAGCCTACACATCCACAGAGGCACCTAGTACAAATCAAACAGGATAATTTAGCATTGAAATAACTGAGGGATTAGCTTGTGACTGGTCACAGAAATAGCTATGTTAAAGATGTGAAAAAACCTAAGTCTAAATTACATCAATATAATAAATGTACTCAATATATTCTTCAATAAGCTGAGCTATTAACAGTAACTGGGTATACACTACACTATATAATGAATACCATATAGTAAACCAATAAAAACTAAAATATAAACTACCTCAATGTTTTGATTTAAAGCTTTCGTCACTGCAGTAATTCATATTCTTAGTTTTTTCGGTAAAGTCACGTTGAAGGGAAACAACAAAATAATAAAATATATATAAAACAATAATAATTCTCACGACGTTTCGACCATAACACAAACGGTCGTCTTCAGGTGTGTTGGTTTTCTCCAATCAGCTAAGCTACCAACAATAAGTCGTTATATATCACAATGCTATATGGTGAAAAAAATGGGTGGATTCTTACCCTCTACTTCAGCACCACGGATAGCTACGAGCCCCGTTCAGACGGACGAGTTCATCCATGGTCGGAACGGAGGAGGGGGAGAGAGACAGCTGCGAGGCGCTGTTATACTCCATGTTGTAAACCATACCATTAACCGTGGTGTGAGAGGTATTAAGAGTCAATGCCAGCAAAAGAGCTGCGGTCTGAAGGTTTATCGTAAAATACAATTAATTAATAACCGAAATGGTTTAAGACATCTTTCCAATGGTTACTAAGCCAGAATCCATCTTTCGGTTGAAATTGTCTCTGTGCTTGTAAATGTGAATGGCCTCATGAACGAATCTCTCATGGTAGCCGGTTGGTTTTCAAAGAACCTCCGTCTTGGCGAAGTCAATGTCATGTGAGCCCACTGAATTATAACAGTGGTCTGCCACGGACAGAGGAGTTCGTTCTACCGTGTTTCAAGTCTGCTTTATGTTCGCGGATGCGGTCCGAGATATGTTGTTTGTCTTCTTTGGTTCTTTCGGTAAAGTCACGTAGAATGAGAATAAAATAATAAATTGATAAAATAAAATAAAATAACGCAATATTCTCACGACGTTTCAGCCACAACACAAGCGGCCTTCATCAGGTGAAGGGACGAGACTGTCCTACCAGACAGAGAATATTATTGCGTTATTTTATTTTATCAATTTATTATTTTATTCTCATTCTACGTGACTTTACCGAAAGAACCAAAGAAGATGAATCCTTGCAGTCACGAAAGCTTTAAATCGAAATATGTTGTTTGGTTTCTCCAATGTAGCTACTACCACAGAGGCACTTTAGTTTGTAAACGCCCGGGTACTGTATGTCTGGAACAACATCTTTTACAGATGGAACCAGATCACGGATTGTATGTACTTTGTTGAATCGGACCTGGATCTTGTGTTTATTCAGGATTTTGGAGATATTTTTAGTGACCCCTGCAATGTAGGGTAAGGTGATGGTTTTGAGTGGCTCCACAAGAGGATCCTTCTTCATGACTGGAGTGATGGCTTTGCGGATTGTGTAGTCGGAGTAACCATTAGCCCTGAGAGCCTGGTGTACGTGCTTGAGTCCACTGGTAATGTGTTCCTGGTCGGAAATGCATTGGGCTCTATGGTATAGAGTCTTGATGAGGGAGTTCTTCTGGGATGGATGGTGGTGGGAATCCGGTTTCAAGTAAGCATCTGTATGGGTAGCTTTCCTGTAGACAGAGTGGCTCATTGAACCATCATGTCTCCTTTTAATTAAGACATCCAAAAAGGGTAGTTTGCCATCTTTTTCGACCTCCATGGTAAATATGATGGCTGGTTGTATGGAATTGATGTGGTCGCGGAATTGGTCTAGAGCAGGCTGGTCATGTGGCCAGATGACAAAAGTGTCATTCACGTACCTCTTCCATAAGGTCGGGCGTAGAGTGGCAGTCTGGATGGTGTCAGTTTCAAATTTTTCCATGAATACGTTGGCTACAACCGGAGATAGGGGGGAGCCCATTGGGGTGCCCTCAGTTTGTTTGTAGAAAGTTCCATTCCAGGTGAAGTATGTGTTGGTTAAGCAATGTCTCACCAGGGGGGGTACATCAGTATGCAGTCCTTGATGAACCAGGTCTTCAATGATAGCGATGGTGTCAGGTACCGGGACTTTGGTGAACAAGGACACC